TCTTCTGCTTGGTCAATTCGGCTGTTGATACTTATGCATGCTTCGCGAAGTTCTCGTGTTGTGTTTTTCAGTGCCATCAATTCACTTATATTCCTTTCTATTTTGTCCATTCTCGTTAGCATTTCGTCAAATCTTTTTTCAAGGTTCTTAGGTTCCTTGCATTTGGTTAGAATGTGTTCTTTAAGTTCACAGAAGTTTCTTACTACCCACCTTCTGAAGTCTGATTCTGTCATTTCATCATACTCGTTCTCCCTCCAACCTTGTTCCCTTGCTGGTGAGGAGTTGTGATCCCTTATAGGAGGAGAGGTTTTCTTGTTTCAGGTGTTTTCATCCTTTTTGCGCTGGTTTCTTCCCATCTTTATGGATTTATCCACCTGTCGACTTTGTAGTTGCTGGCTTTCAGATTGGGTCTCTGCGTGGACGTTCCGTTTGTTGATGATGAGGTTATTTCTGTTTCTTGGTTTTCCTTCTGACAGTCTGGCCCCTCTGCTGTAGGTCTGCTGAGGTCCACTCCAGGCCCTGCTTGCCTGGGGTTCACCTGCAGCAGGTGCTGAACAGTAAGTTTTGTTGTTACCAGTTTTCTTCTTCTGCTATCTTTGTCCCAGAAGGATACCTGCCAAGTGTCTATCTGATCTCTCCTTTATGAGGTGGTTCTTTGAATCTATAGGGGTCAGGGAGCTGCTTGAGGAGATGGTCTGTTTTTTTATAGGAGCTCAAATGCTGAGCTGTGAGCTCCGTTGTTCATTCGGAGCTGCTGGGCAGGCACGTTTAGGTCTGCTGCAGCAGAACTCATAAACTGCTTTTTGTTCCCAGGTGCTCTGTCCCAGGGATTTAGGGCTTTATGAGTTTCAGTTATGCTGCTGCCTTCTTTTTATTTTTTTTTTCCCCCCTTCAGAGCTGCCCTGCCCAGCAAGGACGCAGCCCAGTCACTGTCTGCCTGTAGAGGCTTTGTTGAGCTGCTGTGGGCTGTGCCCAGCTGCCAAGTGAACTTCCCTGCAGTCCTGTTTATACGCGTGTAGTTAGAACCTCCTTGGCAATGGTGGCCCGCCTCTGTTGGGGCGGAGTCTCTCTGTAGTGGCAGGTTGCCTTCTCAACGGCGGGCTGCCTCAGCAGTGGTGGGTTACCTTGGCAACGGCGGGCTGCCTCAGCATTGGTTGACTACCTCCGTAGCGGTGGGCTGTCTCGGTAATGGCAGACACCCCTCCCCCACAGAGCTGGACCGTCCCGGGTTCAGCTGCGCTTGCTGTGAAACTCTCAATCCAGAGAGTTTCTGATTACTGTTCTTTTGTGGGGGTGGGATCAGCCGAGCCTGGTCGCCTGGCTCCCTGCCTCAGAGCCTTTTTTTTTTTTTTTTTTAAGTTGGTGTTCCAGTCGCCTGTTGAAGAGGCGCTGCGGTGTGTGTTTTTTCCCGTGCGACAACTCACTGTGCTGGCTTACATAGTGGCACTGAGATTCCTGGCGCTTTTTTTGCCCTGGAATCTACTGTCCTGGCTCCCTGCTCAGTCCCCTTTTTAAACAGACAAATGGGCGACTTCCCGTGGCTCCAATTGCCAGCCAAAAGGGCACCCAGACCGCTGTATTTTGTACAGAGAACCGCTGCTCCGGGGCGCCGACAAAGCAGCCGTGCGGGGCAAAGCAGATGCGCCGGCCGGCACAGCCGCGCTGGCTGAAACAGCCACTCTGGCGACCCATGGAGCTCTTCCGACTGGGAATTTCCTAGTCCGTGGGCAATAAAAATGCGACGTCCACTCACCCTCTGCGCTTTCACTAGGAGCTGCAATCCTGAGCTGTTCCTAAACGGCCACCTTGGATCTATCGTTATATATATATTTTTAATGAGTTAAAAATAAAGAATATAGGGGAAGGCTTCAAGCTGGCGAGACATCTTTGAATAAAGTATTGTGGCTGAATGTTCCGACCTTTACAGACCATGTGACCTGGTTAAATCGCTTATGTCCTATTAGGCCTCAGTCTTCTCTTCTGTAAAATGAGATGTTTGGACCTAAGGACACCTTTCCAGTTCCCTTCCCGTTGGGACATTCTATGATTCTGAGAGAGAAGCCCCTGGCCTCAAGATACCTCCACTGTCTTGGGTGGGTACTAGATGACTGCATTCATGTTAGAAGCATCTGAACTATGCCAGAGACAACCTACTGCAGATCTGAGGAAAAAATGAAGGACAATGAATGCGAGAGGAAGGCGAGAGGAAAGAAACCCATGATGATGAGAGATGGAAATGGCAACATAAACAGCAGACAAATATAACCACTGATGGGTATCTAGCGGGTTTACGATGCAAATAAAACTCTGCTGGTCTCTGAGGATGCAGAATCAAGACATTGTTTTTGGTCTTAAGGCGCTCACAGAATCTCCAGGGGTTACATTTTGAATTTAAACATGGACATAAGACTTCCACCTTTAGAAGTCCTGGATTTGAGAAACATAAGAAAAAAGGAGAAATGAAAATATTAACAAAAACGTTGCCAGAGGCAACGTGAAAAGACGATGGGTGAAACAGGTGGGACCCACTGGTAAGCTGAATGCGCGACTAGGACAAAGAAACGGTCCCCACTCCCGAGCTTCACCCAGACACAAAAGAAACGGCTTTTGCCCTCAGAGGCGCAGCTTTCCCTCAGCCATCAGAGCAGCTGAGCTGCAGAGTCCCCGCCCCCGGTCGGCCCCTGTCGCCCCCGCCTCCATCCCTCGGGCCTCGGAAGTGACGCAAGCGCCCCGCCCCCGCCGCTAGATCCGCTGCTGCTGCCGCGGCGGGCGGACCTGCAGGAGGTGGCGGCGGCCGAGGCTGAGGGAAGATGGCGGACGGCGTGGACCACATAGACATTTACGCGGATGTGGGCGAAGAGTTCAACCAGGTACGTGAGAGCCCGGGTCCCCACCGCCGAAGCGGGCGGCGCTGCGGCCGGGACGCTGACCCGGGGCCCGCTGCGGGCGGCGAGCCGACGCGACTGCAGACTGTGCGCCCTTGCCGCCTCTGGGCCGCACCGTCGACCCCCGGCGTGGCGCCCGCCTCGCCCCTTGTTCTACCGCGTCGTTTCGCGGACCGCGGGTGCGGCGACCCGCCGCGGCGCCCGCAGCGCGGACGCAGGCCGCCGGCCGCCGTGCAGCTGCCGTCGGCCCCTCCCTCGCCGCCGCTGCCTCGCTCCCCATTGTTGGCGGCACCCGGCTGGCGCTTCCCGCCGCGCTAGGCCCGGGGCAGTGGGGCCGCGTGTAAGCGGCGGGGAGAACTGGCCGCCGCCGCATCCCCTCCCCCGCCGCTGGCCGGAGGGGAAGCCCTGGCGGGGTGCGCGCCCGCCGCCGCCGCCCCTTCCCTGCCGCTGCCACTGGGGCTCCGATTCCTCCCATCGCTCCATTTTGTCTCCCTGCCCGCGCACGGTCGCTTCTTGGAAGGCCGCATTCACGGCCCTTTGTATCCCGCGCGCCCAGTCCCCGGGGCTCTTCTGCTCGGGTTTACGACAGGTTTCGGCGTGGCGCCTTCCTCCTCCTCCCCTCACACTTTATGAAGGCAGCTGAGGTGCAGGCTCATTTGCAACAAGTCCTTTGACTTTTGGAGCCTCAGATCGTATTTAAAAGTCGGCGCGCTGGTCCTGCCTCATTAATCCAGGACTTGCAGTGCTTTTGAAGCCCAGTCGTTGTTGGCCTTTATGATGAAAATACCTGTGAAGATGTGTGGCCGGGACCAAAAGGAAGAATTGGAAACGCGGTGGTTGGATGGAACAAAAAAGATGGTAGCTCATCAAACAGATCTCATAGTGATTAAAATGAAAGAACGTTCTCCCCAAATCCTTACGGTGTGGCTTGAAAATTAAGAGTTGTAGATAAGACCCTATTTTCGAAAACAAAGAGTTAAATCTCCTCCCCCTCCCTCGCGTTACCTTTTGGAAGGTTGGGCGAAAGTGAGAATGCAAGGTTTTCCTGAACGATGTTGCTTAGAGGTAACGCGGAGCTGTGATGTCTGACAATGGGCATCCTTGCAAAAGATGTCGTTTGTTGCTGGAGTAGTGACGTTTAAGGTCTGAACCTGCTGTTCCTATCTTTACTGCATTTAATGTAGTAACACATTTTAAAAAATTAAATTGTGCCTAACTTCGGCGTTCCTAAAAGCTTTATTATTTTTTTTTTTTGTATTTCCCAGGTCCTTATGAAAAGCTTAATAAAATTCTACTGGCTAATGTGTTTATTTCTCCTCCATTAACGATCATATTCGTGACTAGTTGCTCAGGCTTGTTGAAAACAAACTCAAGAGATCTTTGCTGTTCTATTTTTCAGGAATGACTTTGTGCCTCTGGTTTAAATACTAGAAAACAAAACTACCAGTTGGCTTTAAATGTTTGCGACTCCGTTGAAGATTGGATTTGTTTATAGATGTAATACGTTGTAATCAAAGGTTAAGTTTTTAAATCTTTGTGTTTTAAAAATTGTGCTTATGTTTTAAATATAAAGCTTGAGTTGTGTCAATTACAAATCAGACAGATTCCTCGAGTGCAACACAGATTCTAACGCTTACAGGTCTTACACGCCTGTAAGACCTCTAGGAAACTTTTTCCTTTTATTTCTCAAATGAATGTAATAGTGAGTTTAAAAGAGGGCCGTAACTGCAAGTAAAGGAACAATGATTAAGTGTTCAAGATTGCCTTTATTAGCTTTTCTTACAGAGAATACATTGCTTCACCTTTCAATGCGCAATAAAAGAAGAATTGGGACACAATTTTAGAAGTTAAGGCTTTTCAGTACCTCTTAATGAAATATTTTTAGGCTTTTGGAGACTTAATTTGAGAGGGACATCTCCCTTATTCAGATAGCTGGAGGGAGTGATAGCAAGTGCTGAGATTAGTTTTGTGGATCCAGTGAGGGACTCCTTTTAAATGTAACTTTGCCGCATTATATCTAACACAGTTGTATAATTTTACCAGTAAAATTTTTGTGTTTGAATAGATTAATGGCCAGGTTAAATTGAGGCATTGTTTTTGTTATTTTGCATGTCATTGGTCAGTCAATAATTGATTGATTTGTATATCCTTTTGCATACCACTGCTTGCTGTGGTAATTCTTGTACCCCCCCCCAAAAAAAAGGTCACAAAAAGATAGTTTGTGACCCGCGCGCCCAGTCACAAACTTATCCTGTTTTTAAAAATATGTTTCTATCATTGCAATATTTTTCCAAAATCTTAGGGGCAACCACAAAATTATTTACAACTGATTTAATCTTTATTAGCTGGTGACCTTATTTCTACTAGTTATCGGAGACTAGAACTCTTGTTTTATTGTAGTTGGGTAAAATACTAAGTATTAGCCAGTTTTAACTTATTTTGGCCTCAAAACTGTTGTAAACATTTTTTAAAAATCTTTGTTTTCCAGTGTGAACTGTAGTTCTAATTGGATTTATATACTTTGAAATTTGGTATAGTCTGTATTTCAGTTTGCTACTGGTTTTTTTTTTTTTTTTTTTTTTTTTTTTTTTTTTTTTTTTTTTTTTTTTTTTTTTTTTTTTTTTTTTTTTTTTTTTTNCTGTATTCTGCTGAATCTTCTGTTTTAAATGTCATACTTATTGCAAGCATTTCTGTATTTTGGTAAGGCACAGTATTATTTCAAAAAGTGATTTGCATTTATTGAAGTACAGAGAAAAAAGTGTGAGGCATTCAACAGTCTTAGCAGAAACTAATTTGTTTGGGGAAAGATTGTGAATAAGTTAGTGAAACTAATAGAGTTCCTTTCTTCACTAGGTGAGTTAAGAATGGAGAATCAAGGGGGAGGAGACACAAGGCACTGGCTACTCCTATGGGTTCTCTTTTTAGTTCTTAAGTTAGAGGTCTTTGAATGTCACCAGGTTGAGAACATTTGGAAGGAGAATTTGAACATCTTTCAAACCTCCATACTACTTGAAATTGAGGAGGAAGTGATTCTGTCTCACACTCAATAGTGTATCAATTCAGTTTGAACTGGGATTTATACTCAAGTGCAGTAATTACTAGCCCAATATTTAGTAATTGTAGATTTAAAAATTCTGGCCAAAACTAAATAATTTAAAAATTGAATTCAGGGCAGGTGTGGTGGCTCACACCTGAAATCCCTTTGGGATTCCCAAAGCACTTTGGGAGGCCGAGGTGGACAGACTTGAAGTCAGGAGTTCCAGACCAGCCTGGCCAACATGGTGAAACCCCATCTCTGTCAAATACAAAAATTGGCCGGCCATGGTGGTGCCTGCCTGTAATCCCAGCTCCTGGAGAAACTGAAGCAGAAGAATGGTTTAAACCCAGGAGGGAGAGGTTGCAGTGAGCCGAGATTGGGCCACTGCACTCCAGCCTGGGTGACAGAGTGAGTGAGACCCTTTCTCAAAAAAAAATAATAATAATAATAATTGAATTACTCAAAATACATTTGTTGAGTGTCTGATATGTGCCAGCAACGAGGGATACAAAGATTAGATAGTCTCCACCCTTAGAGTACACTGCAGGGGAGCTTAGAGATACCTAGACACAGTAGTCCACCCTTATCCACAGTTCCACTTTCTGTGTTTTCAGAACCTGTGGTTCTGAGGTCTGAAAATATTACATACAGTAAGATACTTTGAGAGATACTATATTTAGGTAACTTTTATTACAGCAAATTGTTATACAGTCGTGTGTCGCTTCACGATGTGATATGTTCTGAGAAGTCCATGCTTAGGTGCTTTAATCATGTGATCATAGGGTGCTTTTACATTTCAAACCTAGATGGTGCAACCCAGTACACATGTAGGCTATATTGTGTGGCCTGTTGCTCCTAGGCTATAAACTTGTACCGCATATTACTGTACTGAATACTTTAGGCACTTGTAACACAATGGTAAGTATTTGTGTATTTAATATATCTAAACATAGAAAAGGTAAGTGAAAATCTTGGTATAAAAGATAAAAAGTCAGGGTGTTCCTTGCTCTCATATATTAAACGTTACATCTTATAAGAAAAATAAGATAAAAAGTGGCATACTTGTATAGGGCCTTCATGAAAGGAAGCTGCGTGACTGGAAGTTGCTCTGGGAGAGTGAGTAAGTGACTGGTGAGTGAATGTGAAGATCTGGGATATTATTGTACCGTACTGTAGATGTCATAAACTGTACAGTTCACTCAGGCTACACTAAATTTAAACTTTTTTTTCAATAATACATTAAACTTAGCTTGCTGTAATGTTTTCACTTTATTTATTTGAAACATTTTCTCGCTGTCATCTAGGCTGGAGTACAGTAGTGCAGTTGTGGCTTGCTGCAGCCTTGACCTTCCAGGCTCAAGCAGCCCCCCTGCCTCAGCCACCAGAGCAGCTGAGACTACAGGCATGTGCCACCATACCTGGCTAATATTTTATTTTTTGTAGGGGTAAGGTCTCGCTGTGTGGTCCCAGCTAGTCTCAAACTCCTAGGCTCAAGCTGTGTTCCTGCTTTGACCTACCAAAGTGTTGGGATTACAGGCGTGAGCCACTGTGACTGGCCTGTTTTTACTTTATAGACTTCTTAGACTCTTCAGTAATAACAGTTTAAAACACAAACACATTATATAACTATAAAATATTTTCTGTATATCCTTATTTATAAACTTTTTTCTTTGTTTTTTGTTTTGTTTTGAGATGGAGTCTCTGTCACCCAGGGTGAAGTGCAGTGGCATGATCTTGGCGCACCACAACGTCTGCCTCCTGGGTTCAAGCAGTTGTCCTGCCTCAGCCTCCTGAGTAGCTGAGACTACAGGCACACACCACCATGCCTGCTTAATTTCTGTGTTTTTGGTAGAGATGGGGTTTCACTATGTTGGCCAGGCTGGTCTCAAACTCCAGACATCAAGTGATCCCTCTCACCTCGGCTTCTCAAAGTTCTGGGATTACAGGC